GCTAGGAGAGTAAAGTCGTAGCGCTAGGAGAGTAAAGTCGTAGCGCTAGGAGAGTAAAGTCGTAACGCTACATGTAATAGAAAAATGAAAGAGTCAAAATCTCAAAAACATATCTGGAGTTAGGTCAGAACTCCAAACTGGGACCAGCAGCAGCTCCTTGTTCTGGACAGCTGACCTGCTGTAGGAAGATACTGGTCCCAGTATCAGCTCTCTGAGCTGCGATGGTTCCTCTGGTCCAATTGTCAAAGGTCCATCATGTAAAATGAGTGGACAGCAGATTGGAATAAATGTGACGCTCCTTTAGGTTCCTCAGGTCTTCCTCCTGCAGCGGGTCAGGTCCTCTAACTGTGTGTGGTTGTTCCGGGTGTGTTCAGGTGATGGGCCATCACAGCGCCCACCTGGATCCTCTGGGAATCAGCTGTGTGAACTTTGATGACGCTCCGGTCAATGCCGGCTTCCAGGACGTCGGTGAGAGCGCCGCGGCTGCAGCAGCACTCAGACTCTGGTGTTAATGTTGCTTTTCCCTCTCACCCACCCATCCCCCTCCTCTCTCCTTCCACCTTTAACCCATTAACGCTCTTCATCACCCCCACTCCCTGTCCTGCTCCTCTTCCTCCTGTCCTGTCCCGGGTGGGTTCTGTGCTGTTGTCCCCCCCTGTAGATCCGGGGGCACCATGTGGCCCAGTTGGACCCCCTCGGCATCATGGACGCTGATCTGGACTCGTGCGTCCCCACTGACATTATCACATCCTCCGACAAGCTGGGTGAGGACCCCCCCCCCCCAAAATATGAGGAAGTCTCAGTGTTTTCAGGTTCCCCCCTCCCTGTGTGAAACCTCTGGAACCTTCTGGAACAGGTAGCAGTTAGCAGGAACTTCTCCATCCTCTGGAGCTGGAATCGTTACTCTACGCTCTTTTCCCGTTTAGCGGATCAGAACCAGTCATGTTTGGTCTCACTGGTTCAGCCTGAAACCAGCCAGGGTCCCACTGGGACGTCTGCTGCCCTCTAGTGGTGGATTTCAGACAGTTAGTTCTTCAGTTGCTTCCTGCGTGTTGGTGTTAGAAGATCTGCAGGAAGTTCCCAGTTTTTAGACTCGGCTGGCCAGTTGGATCCACCTTCACCACCAGAACCGCCTTGATTCTTTGAATCGATCCATTAAGATGCCAGAGAAGTTTGGGTTCATCTTGCAGATGGTTCTGATGACGAGAGACAGAGCGGTTCTGTTGGACTGAGTTTCACTGTCTGACCTGTGTGAAGATGGGTCCACTGGGTCGGCATTGATGCTCAGGCTTTGGATGGTTCTGGAAGGTCCAAAGTGAGGCAGCATAACATCCCCCACAGCATGGCTGCTGGGATGGAGCAGGATGGACCCAAACTGGGATCCATCCATCTTGATTCTGGCTTTAATCTGATCCGGTACACCAACAGAACCGGTTCTGTTTAAAGCCTCTGAGGATCACGAAGCAGAAGCTCCTGTCCCCAACAGAGGAGAGAAGCAGCTGGGTTAGAACCCAACCGGAGGGTAAACTGGTTCTGTTGGGAGTCGTCTCCTGGCAGGAGGACCTCCAAACGGCCTCAGCAGTGAGATGCCTGCTGATATCAGCGAAACGCTGCTGGACTCTGACCCTCCTGTTGGTTTGGGCCAGAACCAGGAGCTTGGTTCTAGTTTATTCAATCTAGAAGTATGACCATAGATGCTGGTGTTTCCTGGGTCGGTGGGCCCGTTTCTCTCGATTGGTGGGCTGTATGTGCTGGTTCTGACCCGTTCATGTCTGCTGTCTGGTTCCACTGCTGTGGTTCTGGTGTCATATGGGTTTAGAAGAAGGACGGTCTGTTAGCTGATGGTCGTGTTCTGAACCGAACATCTGTCCTGGTTGGTCCAGAGAAAACCGAACCTCATGCCCTCCTGGTGAAGCAATCGGGCCAACAGGTCGATGGGTCAGAACAATGGGTTCTGACCCGGATGTTACATCGTTGCTTTGGCTCCAGAACTTATTCTGTTTCTGTTGTGAAATGAGTGAAGATGAACGGATCTGGAGATGAGCATCACAGACGCCAAAGATTTAAACCCAGAATAAACCCCTCAGACCTCCGGAGGTCTTCCTCATTCATCTTCACCCTGACGGACCAACAGGTACAGAATATTCACGCTCCTGGAGGATTAGGTCATTGTTCACGTCGTAAACCCGTTCTAGATAATTAAGTCATAAAGTTGCTGGACCGTAGTCAGGACTGTTTCTTTTAATCTTTAAAGAGTTGTCTCCCGGTCAGCACCGATCTTCAAAAACAGACTGAACCAAGACAGAAATCTGGTTTTATGTCAAAGTAACTAGAAACGGCTCAGACTTTACACGCCATGAACAAATCTGTGGCGTTCTGGTCGGGAATGAAGTCCGGATCAGCTGTTCTTTTCATGAATTATCATTGTGTGTATGTGGAATGTGGGCGGGGTCAGCTGCAGAGTCCTGCGTTGACCCGTGACTGAAGGGTCCCTGGTTCTGTGGCGGCGTAGAAAGGTGACAGTCTGGTTCCGGTTCATTTGGCGACTGAATCATAGCGAGTCCGCTGCTCCAGGAATTAGTCCAGTCCTTCCTGTGTGGTTCTGTTGGACCTGCTAACCCAGGCATGGTCTCACCCTCCTCTCTACACTGCGGGCCACAGCCAGAACCTGTTCTAACCCCACCCAGAGCGGCGGCGTAGATGAAGCGCCCTCTGCTGGCCTTAGCAGTAGGTGGTGTGTAGGTCGGTGATGCGGAGGTTGATTAATGCTGTCTGGGTGTGTCTCCCCCTGCTGGCTGCCCTGCAGACCTGTTCCAGGAGCGTCTGAACCGGCTGACGGTCGGAGGTACGAAAAGCTCCGCTGCTGCTGCCTCTGTAGCTTCTACTGCTCAGGTTCTGGACCAAAGCCCGTCCTGACCCGGTCCGTCAGACTGCAGCTCTGCCCGGTCCAACACTCCGCTGTTCAATGTTTCTGTTTCCTAGAGAATGATCTAGAACCGGGTTTCATTTGGGTTCATAAAGACTGAAAATGGTTCTGGTCTCTTTTAAACGGGATGGTTTCAAACTTTTCACCACAGAACCATCCAGAACCTCTTCCCAGACCCGGTACAGGTCCTGGTTCTGCTCATCCAGGGATGCTGTTTAGCACAGCAGCAGACAGGACGGTTCTGATCCATGACCCGGTAGAACCTGTGGGTTTTCCCCCTGATGGAAACGTGGGACTGCAGATGGAGGTTCGGACCGGGCCAGCTGTAGGTCCATGTTCTGTTGGTAGCTTCTAGCTGCTGGTAGCGCCCTGCTCTGTAGACCTTTGTTCATAACCCAAACCCAGTCCATCAGAACCGGCTTCTATCTGGGTCTCCTGCAGGTAGCCTGTCAGGGTTCGGCAGTAACTGGACCTTTTCTCCTCTCTGTTCTAGCGAACCCGCTTGTTCTAGAAGATTCTGACCCAGATTGTTTAGTTTTTTAATCAGAACATAAGATAAATGAGACCGGTTCCTGGATCCAGTCCAATCATTTTTTAATCTAACTTCCGGTTGGTTCCGTCACGGATCCGACTGAAACCCAGGAGTGGAGCTCAGAACGGTTCCCCTACAGTCAGACGCCTCCTCAGGGCCCGGTTCTTAGATCAGCCTGAGTCCAACTCACCAGAACCCAGGGCTGAATCATCACTGTTAAAGTTCTACAGAGTTCTGATCCAATTTTGGTGCGTAGAAGCAGAGATGGGTCTGCTGGACTCTGGTCCTCCAGGACTGGAGTCACCGTCCTGTGGGTGGAAAATGGATCCGGTTTGGGTCCGTTTCTATGGAAACGGACGCAGAATGTCCCCCGTGGAGACGATCCGCGGCGCTGGGCAGAACCAGAACCCCTCTGAGCATCTGCTGATGCGCTGATGGAGAAGCTCCAGACGCGTAGAACAAGCGGGGAGAACGTTCTGGACTTAGACAGCTGCTCGGTTCCTGATCTCCTGGGCTCAGATGATCGTCGTCGGGTTCGGCTGTCCAGCAGTTTGTCGTCCAGCTTCCTGTTTGCAGGCTGTAGAGCCTCCTGATTGGCTGAGGCTGCTGTGCTGGCTCTCTGATTGGCTGCAGCAGCTCTGGTTTCTTTCTGAATGAGAAGCTTGTTTGATGATGAGCTGAACCCACCCAGAACCGGCCCGGTCCACTTGCCTCCATCCGTCTCCAGCATGGTAACGTCTCATCCAGCCATAGTAACGCCTTCATGCCATCACCTTGCTCAAGCAGCGTGTCGTTTTGTTTTTGTCTCAACCAGATGTGGACCCGTCCTCTGAGACCAGAGCTGGAAAACATCCCAGGCTAATCTGACTCGCCAATCCCCGTTCCCATGGAAACCACTGGGACAAATTAGCCGCAGCGCGTTGATCTTATTAGCTCCAGTTTTCCTCAGCTCTGGTCTCAGCTGGCTGCTGATGCTGTTTTCCAAATGTCCACAGTAGATCCAGAGATGTTCCTAAAGATCAGCTGAGGGACATGGAAGCTCCTGGCTGCTGATTCAGGAACATCTCACTGACTTTACTGGTCCACCTCAGGAGAAGCGATGAAAGCTGCAGACCGAGTCACTGCAGGTCCACTGATGGTCCTCCTGGCTCTGGTCCTCAGGGGACCCTGGTCTCCTGAACATCTGAGTTTGCTGCTCCAAGTTGGTGATGTTTGAGAAACATTCTGGAGGTTCTGATGAAGAGAACCAGTCCAACCTTCATCAGGCTAAGGAAGTTCTCACCATCAGAGGATTTAATGAGTCAGACGTTCCAGACAACTGTCAATCACCCAGAACCTTTTGACTGAGGTCCAAAACCCAGCAGAGAACCGATGATTATATAAACCAGCCGGTTCTGGTTGAAGGAAACATCATCCATCGGTTCATTCCACCTCTACTGCTTCACCAATCACTGAAGGTGAGCCATGAATAGTTCGCCCTCTGCTGGTCAGAGGACGAAGTGTCACCAAACATGCAGATGTTGAAGGTCTCTGCAGACTGTAGGAGTTCTGGAGACACCCAGCTGAACCAGCATTGGTTGGTGGAGCATGGTGGTGGAGGTGTTATGCTGTGGGCCTGGCTGATAATGGAGCAGCTTGTAAAGCAGGACTCTGAACTGGATGTTTCCAGATGATCTGCCTCCTGCTGAGGCGGCATCTCTCTCTGTTAAAACACGGAGCTGGTTTTTATCCAGCTCAGCATGTTTTTCATCTCCTGAAGGAGAACCTTGATCTTCCAGAACAAGCAGCAGCTGCAGAGGCTCTGCTCCAACTCAGAAGATCCTGGGCGTTTGCTCTGGCCTCTGAGTAATGGGCTTCATGCAGGGATGAGCTGCTGGCTTCAGAACCTGTGGAGAAAAACCATCAGAGGTCACGATGGAGCAAAGATGTTAAAACCTGAAGGTCACATAAGATCGGAGGTTCTCGATCCGATCAGAGAGCCTCTCTTTGTTCCTCTCCTGATGGTGGGCTGTGTGTGAAGACCTGCTTCCTGTGAGCAGCTGGTTGGCTCTAACCTCCTGTTTTAACTCTTCCTCTGTTCGTCTGTCTTGGTCTGATCTTCGTCTCTAACATCTCCATCTTCAACCTTCTGTTTCATGCAATCTTCCTCACTTCCCTCATCTTGTGTCTTTTCATCTTCCTCCTTGCTTCCTGTCCCTCTCCCTCCTTTGCATCATGGGACATGTAGGGTTCTACGGTCTGGACGAGTCGGACCTGGACAAGGTGTTCCGGCTGCCCACCACCACTTTCATCGGTGGCTCAGAGTCGGCGCTGCCGCTGAAGGAGATCATCCGCCGCCTGGAGGTAAAGAGCAGGTGGTGCTGGGGGGTGGGGGGTTTGGGCAGTTCGGTTGGTGTCAGAGGAGCAGGTGAAACTCGTGGGATGAGGAACTCTTCCTGCTGCTGCTGACCCGGGCGTGCGTTTGTCCCCAGATGGCGTACTGTCAGCACATCGGCGTGGAGTTCATGTTCATCAACGACCTGGAGCAGTGTCAGTGGATCCGACAGAAGTTTGAGACCCCAGGAGTGATGCAGTTTACCCTGGAGGAGAAGAGAACGCTGCTGGCTCGGATGGTCCGCTCCACCAGGTAAGCCCCACCTTCAGTCCGTTAGAGGAGAAGCAGGGTGGAGCTGTGGCTCATCTGATCGTCTGTGTGGTCAGGTTTGAGGAGTTCCTTCAGAAGAAGTGGTCTGCAGAGAAACGGTTTGGACTGGAGGGATGCGAGTCTCTGATCCCAGCTCTCAAGACCATCATAGATAAATCCTCGGAGAACGGAGTGGAGAACGTCATCATGGGCATGCCTCACAGGTAAAAGCTTCAGGGAGAAGATGATGGAGACATCAGGGTTTAAGTGTTTCCAACGGGACCTTCTTGAACCAGAGAAGGTTTCTAAGGTTTAACTACAGCTACCTTAGAAACCTGTGGTGTGTCTCACTTTAATCATGTCTAGAATGGCGTTGGAAATCAGAGCCAATACTTCCTTTAAAAAATTTGTTGGGATTTAATCCAACATAGAAGTTAAAGGTTAAAATCAAGATAATCAAACAAAAACTAGGATTCTTATTCTAATGATGACGTGTTCTTTAGCATCCCTTAAAGCACAGAATCTTCCCCTTACATTAAATGTTTTCAGCACCACCCTCTCATGGTCATCCAGGTTATTTAGAATCAATGAATATGCAATAATATGCAAAAGATGGTTTAAAGGTTCTGTGTTCTGCCATATTTGATAAAAAGGATGTTTTTTTCCCATTTGTGCAGGAAAATTCTTCCCAGATTAGGCAGATGGCCTCATTCAGCCCTCTTCTAAATTAGATTTTTTTGGATTTCCATGCCGATATCCTTCTCAAGGCCGCTCCTCCATAACCCAAAACCATGACAAGCATTCAGAGTTTGTAAAGATAGCCTAGGAGACACTTGACTGTTACGAAAATGTTTATAAAGTGAATTTTGCATAATATGTGGCCTTTAAAAGTTGTTAAAAACTTGATCTGATAATTATCTACTACAATGAAAACTGCTTGAGGTCTTGGGTGAATTAAACTAAAAAGTTCTTAAAAATGGCAAAACAAGACAGGATTATGCAGACCTGTTATTTCTTCATGACTGAGGCTAAAAACAGGTCCAGAGAAGGAAGATAAGAGTGAGTAGGTCTGTAAACGTTTTAAGGCTGAAATAATTCAACCCAGTGGTTATAGAATGGTTAAAATCTTCTCTTCCTACCATCTTTTTCTCAAGTGATTTTATTTTCATCTCTCCACTTTCAGGGGTCGGCTGAATGTTCTGGCGAATGTGATCCGTAAAGAATTGGAGCAGATCTTCTGCCAGTTTGACTCAAGGCTGGAAGCTGCTGATGAGGTACTTAAATGGTTGCAGTACACAGCGGGGGTCAAAATACTAAGTTTGGTTGTTTCTCTCCTCAGGAGGAGATGCTTCTGCAGTTTCTATCTATGCTCATTAGAACACACACTTGTCACTGCTAAAAATGGAGCTGATTGTAAACAATGAAGCGTTGGTTCTCCTCCTCAGGGCTCTGGAGATGTGAAGTACCATCTGGGGATGTATCATCGTCGGATCAACAGAGTGACGGACCGGAACATCACCCTGTCTCTGGTGGCTAACCCGTCTCACCTGGAGGCCGTTGACCCTGTGGTTCAGGGAAAAACCAAAGCCGAGCAGTTTTACTGCGGAGACACCGATGGAAACAGGGTAAGTCTGAGAAGAAACGTTCTTCAGGAAGTACCTGCATCCCTGACCATAATGAGACACTCAATCCGACCCGAAATAAAACAGCTTATCAGTCAGAACCTCGGTCCTCATGTTCGGTGTGCAGGTGATGTCCATTCTGCTGCACGGAGACGCAGCCTTCGCAGGTCAGGGCATCGTCTACGAGACCTTCCACCTGTCTGACCTGCCGTCCTACACCACCCACGGCACCGTCCATGTGGTGGTCAACAACCAGGTACCCTGTGGAGTCACTGCTGGGCTGGAGGTTAACTTCTCAGAGGCTAACCGTCCCAATTCTGGGTGCAGATTGGTTTCACCACCGACCCCCGCATGGCCCGCTCGTCTCCGTACCCGACTGACGTTGCTCGGGTCGTCAACGCCCCCATCTTCCACGTCAACGCAGACGACCCTGAAGCAGTCATCTACGTCTGCAAGGTGGCTGCAGAGTGGAGGGCCACCTTCCACAAAGACGTGGTGGTCGATCTGGTGAGTGTTTATTCTGCTTCCTGTAAGGGACCCGCTGCTGCCCCCCTGTCCTAACCTGTCCCCCTGTCCCCAGGTGTGTTACCGTCGAATGGGTCACAACGAGATGGACGAGCCGATGTTCACTCAGCCGTTGATGTACAAACAGATCAAGAAGCAGAAGCCGGTTCTGCAGAAATACGCAGAGAAGCTGATCGCAGAAGGAGCCGTGAGCCGACAGGAGTATGAGGTAAAAGATGGAGCCCGGAACCCTGAACAAGAGGATCAGTGCTTTGTTTGCTTATGCAGAACAAATGATCCGTCTTCAGGTCCAGTCAGTAAAACATCAGAACCTTTGATGTGTGCAGGAGGAGATCGCCAAGTACGATAAGATCTGTGAGGAGGCGTACGCTCGCTCTAAGGATGAGAAGATCCTGCACATCAAGCACTGGCTGGACTCGCCATGGCCCGGTGAGCAGGTTCCCGATAGCGGAACCAGAACTTTGCTTCTACAGTCTGTCCTTCTGCTGCTGACCTGAAGATTGTCCTCAGGTTTCTTCACTTTGGACGGACAGCCCAAGTCCATGAGCTGCCCGTCCACCGGCATCTCTGAGGAGGACCTGAACCAGATCGGCCAGGTGGCGTCCTCCGTCCCCGTAGAGGACTTCACCATCCACGGAGGTCCGACCCGCATAGATGGATTAAACGGCTTTGCTGAACGGAACCAGCGATAAACTGACTCTGTTATCGTTGGATCAGGTCTTAGTCGTATCCTGAAGAGCCGAGGGGAGATGGTCCGGAACCGGACCGTGGACTGGGCCCTGGCGGAGTACATGGCTCTGGGGTCTCTGCTGAAGGAGGGGATCCACGTCCGTCTGTCGGGTCAGGATGTGGAGCGAGGAACCTTCAGGTGAGCAAAAGTTCTAGATGAAGCCTGATCTGGACACTTCCACAAGGTCCATTTCACCTGGCAGTCCCAGGTTCTGGTCCTGTCTGAGCTCTCTGGCGCCACCTGCCTGGTTCTGGCTGGGTCCAGAATGTTTTCTGAGCTTCTTGTCTCCTCTCAGCCACCGTCATCACGTCCTCCACGACCAGAACGTGGACAAGAGAACCTGCATCCCCATGAACCATCTGGCTCCGGACCAGGCGCCGTACACCGTCTGCAACAGCTCGCTGTCCGAGTACGGAGTTCTGGGTCAGTTCTGTTCCTCTGAGGTTCTGTTGGGCTCAGCCAGGTTCTGAGCCGGTTCTGCTTCTCTGCAGGCTTTGAGCTGGGCTTTGCCATGGCGAGCCCGAACGCTCTGATTCTGTGGGAGGCCCAGTTTGGAGACTTCCACAACACGGCGCAGTGCATCATCGACCAGTTCATCTGCCCGGGTCAGGCCAAGTGGGTCAGACAGAACGGCATCGTCCTGCTGCTGCCGCACGGCATGGAGGGCATGGTGAGGCTGCCGCACACCCGTACAGAACCGGGCCTGGACTCCGTGTCCTGATGCTCTGTTTATGCCCACAGGGTCCAGAACATTCTTCGGCTCGACCTGAGAGGTTCCTCCAAATGTGCAACGATGACCCGGACGTGATGCCCGTAAGGCCCTGTGTGAAGCAGAACCAGTCTGCCAGACCGGGTCTCTGTTCTAACTGGTTCTGCCTGGTTCTGTCCCTCAGAAACTAGGGGAGGACTTTGCGGTCCGGCAGCTCTACGACTGTAACTGGATCGTGGTGAACTGCTCCAGTCCAGGAAACTACTTCCACGTTCTGAGGAGACAGATCCTGCTGCCCTTCAGGAAGCCGGTACCCTCCAGAACCTCCACTTCCGCTGCGTTACGGGCTTTTATTTTGAAAGGCGGTGATTTATTGAGCTTCCTCTCTGTTCTTCAGCTCATCGTCTTCACTCCCAAGTCTCTGCTGCGTCACCCTGACGCCCGGTCCAGTTTCGACGGGATGCTGCCCGGTAACGCCGCCGCTGCCGCACGTGTTTGTGATGGTTGAGGTGTTTTCCCAGACTGACCTTCGGCGCTCCTCCTCTTCCTCCCTGTGTGCAGGAAGCCACTTCCAGAGGGTGATCCCAGAGGACGGGCTGGCGGCGGAGCGGCCGGAGGCGGTGAGGAGGCTGATCTTCTGCACAGGAAAGGTTTACTACGAGTTGACCAAAGAGAGGAAGAAGAGGGGCCTGGATGAGACGGTGGCCATCAGCCGCATGGAGCAGGTACCAGAACCCACCCAGGGACAGACACTCGGCACCAGAGCAGGTCTTTAGCCCCGCCTCCTCTCTCTCTCTCTCTCCTGCAGCTCTCCCCGTTCCCGTTCGACCAGGTGAAGGCGGAGTTTGAGCGTTTCCACAACGCCGACCTGGTGTGGTGTCAGGAGGAGCACAAGAACCAGGGTTACTACGACTACGTGAAGCCTCGCATCCGGACCACCATCAACAAGGCCAAGAACGTCGGGTAACGAGCAGCCCCGCCCCCCTCCAGGTACGGCCCGACCGCGCCCCGCATCCTCTAACTCCGCCCTCTTTTTGTCTCAGGTACGCCGGCAGAGACCCGGCTGCAGCTCCGGCCACAGGAAACAAGAACACCCACCTGATGGAGCTGCGGCGCTTCCTGGACACGGCCTTCGACATGGACGCGTTCAAAGACCAGCAGTAGAGCGGCCCCGGGGCCCACTCTGACCCACCCCCCTCCACCCGGTTCCACAGATTAAACTTCCTGTTTCTGACACTACAGCAGCTTTCACTGAGGGCTGAGTTTAACCCGACGGTCCGATAGAGCGGACCCTAAACTCGCGCTGACGACGCTTTGATCGCAGTTTCCTCCTAAATCCACCGAACGTTGGAGTCCGACTCCGTCACATGAAACAGGGATGTTTGATGGGACGGACCCGGCCTCCACACACACACACACACACACACTCCAGCTGCTGGAACAGACCCAGATTGTGGTCAGAGTGGCGCCTCCCGTCTTCCCTCCTCTCTACTCCACATGTTCAGTCATAGGATCAGAGCTTTCTTCTTCTGCAGGAATCATTTTTCTTTTAGCGTTTGAAGCAGCAGAGCTCAAAGGGACGTAGGCTGACCTTCACTGCAGGTCTTCTTCTCATTAAGGAAAAGTTGTAATTAGTTGCCATGGTAACGCTTCTCTCTGAGATTTTATGGTTTTATTCTGTGGGTACGTTTGGGATGAACCAACCACACGCACTGCTGATAAATCATTTAACCCCCCCTCCCCCTCATCGCCGGCGGGCGCTCATCTCGTGCCAAAAAGCTCCGCAGCAGAAGGTCACCTCCCTCTGGAGTTTCTGCGGCGCAGCTGAACTGTCGGCAGGAAATGGATGAAGCGTCGGCTGCAGTTCTGAGCTTCTGAGAGAAAAAAAAATCATTTATTTATTTTCATATTAGGGGATTGAAGTCTGCTGCGTTATTATGCTTCATTCAATAAAGAGTTCTGTACTGAAGAACCCGGCCTGGTTCCTGTCTCTGCATCCTATACATGTGGTTAATAATACAATTGAACTTTACTGATCTCACACTCGAGAATATTACCTCTGCATTTAGCAGCCCTGTATTATTTTTAATAA